CACTGAAGTTGTAAATATGTTGACGGAGATGTTTATCTCAATTTTGGAAATATTCAAGAAAGGTATTTTTCTCTACTCAGATGTCAGCAAACCAATACTTCGGGATTTTGAAATAAATAATCTTCTGCAGACTTATCGAGAAATCTTGATTCAGTAATATCAATTATTATTATCTTAAAAATTATTGTACATTAAAAATCCCCATTTAGACATTTAGAAAAAAGACTGATTGGGCGAAGAAACTGTAGTTTGAAGTTTATGTGGATTTCACTTTTAAGGTAGTATTCATCACGAACTGATATCAGTTGGAGAACCATTGAAAATCTTGAAAACCATAATGAATACCACTTTAACAATAAAATCCCCATAAGCCGAAAGCTATTTTACTGATAAGTGTTCATTGGTGACATGCTTCCAGACGGATATCTAGAAGTTCTAATGAAAAGCCATGACCTGTATTGTTAGTCAGATAGTCGAAAGTGAAGTGAAGCGGATACCAACTGAAGACCATGATGGATATTCAAGCTATATCGTGAATTTATAGAAGTAGGAAACTGTTGACCGTTGAACTCCGACCCAGTAGTTCAATGGCTATCTCATTCTCCGTGAAATCTGTAGGTCTTGAGTTCAATCCCTAGGAGAGAAGGAGGTCATGAGTGCGTATTGCCGAGGAGTCTCATACTAGGACGAAACAGCTGCTCAGTGCTACCAGGTTTTCAGTGGTTTTCTAACTGATGTCTATCCATGGAGAATGCTGTCTCACAAAAATTATTATTTATCAACAAATAATCCCCTCTGATTTTTAAGTTAGTCTCTGTTCAGGATGAATTAAAAACACCCAGGGGACAAAAGGCAGATATCTCTTGGCTATCATCAACTTTACTCTGTCAAACAAAAGATGTAAACATATTTATTTTCATGAATAATCCACAGAATGGTTTATTTGGAAAACAAACAATGACTTCACGCGCATAGTCTTTTTTTTAAGCCTATAGACCATATAATGCGAAACATAATAAGGGGAGTAGGATAGTAAGTATGATTCAACTGATCTCATTGTACAGTAAGTGCTTAGACAGACAGGTAGCTAGAATAAAAATCCACTAATATCTGACTAGATTTTATAAACATACCATTGAAGAAAACAGATAATTTTGTCAAAAACGTAGGCAAATGAGGTACATGGTTTGTGCCTAATTGGTTAAGTAACTGATACCTTCATATGGAAGAAGAGTGCTGCAGATCAATTTCTACCCAGCCTCGGACTTCTTAGCAGAGAGCACAATAAACCCAAGATTACAACTTTTCAGGAAACACATGTATAATAATGATCTATTCTATTGAAATCCCAGTATTAATAACAGTCAATAAAATTTGGGTGTTTCTAAATTACAATAACCTCTCCCCGTTAACTAGTTCACTAGTTACTAGCCGGTTCTAAGCCCTGATAAAGACAGAAAATTTGGCATAGGGCTAGCAACCCTACCCCAGAAAACCAATCCAATCGCTAAACAAACTTCAAAGCACAAACAAAATATAAAAAATAAAAACAAACTTATTCCTCACCAGACTCGGAGAGACGAAATGACGCCGATTGGTGAAAACCTTCGGGAAGCCAATTCATCTCTCTTCTCTCGATGAAAGCAAAAGTAAGAATGGGGACACGGAATGTCCGAACAATGTTTTGAGCTGACTGGCAGAGCTGCCCAGATTGCAAAAGGGATGAGAAGGCATAGCATAGAAATGCTTGGAATCTGTGAAAGTAGATGGAATGTAAGTGAACTCTCCAAACAGTCAACTGGAGAGGAGTCAATAATCCACTCCGATATTGTCACCCAGACGAGAACCACGAGCACACTGAGTTTTCGAGTGGCCACCATCATGTCCCCCACCCCCCAAAAAATGCATCGAAGGCTCTCATGCAGTGGGAACCAATCTCCTCCACTATCACGATCATGACATCAAGGTTCAACTCAAAAGGAAGGAAGGAAGGTGACAATCACTCAATGCTGCGCTATGCACCTACAAATAATGCAGATCAGGAGAAGAAGGAGGAATTCTACAGACAACTGCAATCAACACTGGACAAGACTTCAGTCAATGACATCAAAATTCCAATGGGCGACATGAAGGCCAAACTCGGAGCGGACAACACAGGAAGAGAACCAATCATGGGTCAAGAAGCACTTGGTGAAATGAATGAGAACGGAGAACTGTTTGCTGACTTCTGCGCATTCAACGATTTGGTGATTGGAGGCACTGTGCACAAACACAAGGATATTGACGAAGCCACATGGATTTCACCAGACACCAGACACACTAAAAATCAGATCGACTTCATCTCAATCTCAAGAAAGTGGAGGCACACCCAACCTACTAGACACAAGATCAGATGAAGAAGGGGAGCAGATGTAGGTTCACACCGATCACTATCTTGTGCAAGGAACCTAACTTCAAAATCAAGTTGAAAGCCTTCAAAGAAGTGGGTGGTCATAGACCACACACAGTTTAACTTGAACACCCAGAACAGAAACTGAACTGAAGGACGAAACTACAAAGGACATCTATCTTCAAGCCAGTTATCAGGACAAAATGGGAGACATTAAGCAATATCTCCGAGGAATCCTGGGTGGAAGAACACTGGAAGGCTCTGAAAGAGACATGGAAGAAAACCTGCATAACCATGTTAGGAAGGAAGAAGAAGCAAGACAAGGGATGGAATGGAATGGAATGGAATGGAATGGATCTCCACAGATACATGGAAGCTGATAGAGCAGGGAGAGGAAGATGGTGAAGCGGAAGATAAACCACTGCAGTGCAAGGATGAACAACGGAAAGAGGAACTGAACACAACCCATAAAACCTATAACACTGGACAGAGAAGTGAAGGAGAGTGCGCGCAAAGACAAAATACACTTCTACGACACATTGGCAAGTGAAGCAGAACAGGCTGTAGGTAGGAGAGACCTGACGACACTGAATCAAATAACCAGGTTACCAGGTCTATCTCGGAGGGGGGAGATCAACGCAGATGAAACCAATGAGAGATAGTGAAGGAAAGCTAGTTACCAAAGAGGAGAAACAAAGGAAACAATGGGCTGACCACTTCGAAAAGCTCTTCAATCGACCACCACAACCACCACCACCTGCATCTCGTCCAGAAATACCACCTACAGCCGCAGAACTATCAGTGAACTCAAGCCCTCCGACAAACGCAGAAGTGAGGTCCTTCAGGCCATATAACTGCTGAAATCCATGAAAGCGGCATGATCAGGTGGAATCTCGCCAGAAGCACTGAGAACAGACGCAGAGACAACAGTAGACATGCATACACGACTACTTCAGAAGGTTTGGAAGGAAGGAAGAGAAGGTACCTGCCCATTGGCTGGAACAAGAGCTGCGTTGTAGAACTTCCAAGAAGGGTGACCTAACTGTTTGCAAAGACTGGCGCGGTATCATGCTGCTGCCAACCCCAAGCAAAATACTAAGCCGCATCATCATGGAGAGACCAAAAAATGCGCTGGATTCAAAATTACGACCGGAACAGGCCGGCTGACTGGCTTCAGGACGAACAAAACATATGTGGATCAAATTGCAACGCTACGCCACGCCACGCATCATCATAAAACACAGCGTAGAATGGCAGTCGACTGGATTCTTACCTCAACCTCATCGATTTCGAGAAAAACCTTCGATCGAGGCGTCGACTGAGAAGTAATTTGGCAGGCAGCTGCTTCAACAATGCGGTTTCAGTGCCACAAACCTTTGTCAACCTCACTCAACATCTATATGATGAAGCCATATGCCAAGTGATCCACAATGGAAGGCTCATTGACGCCTTTGAAGTGAAGACAGGGGTAAGACACTGTTGCCGCCTACTACCACCCATGACCTTCCTGATTGTGGTCAACTGGACTGGATCATGCAGCAAACCGTGAGGAGCGAGAAGATGAGCACACGCTGTTTGACCGATGAGACGATCCCAGAAGAAGATTTGGATTTCACCGATGACTTCTATCTAATATCTTGTCGCAAAAACTCGAAGATCTACAGGCAAAAACCCAACAAGTTGACAGAGGAGGCAGTGAATACGGGACTTCCTTCAGGTGAACGTGGAAAAGACAGAGGTGATGAAGATACCCAACCACCACCACCAACAACAACAACAAGCACCATCAATGGGGGAAATCTAAAGGAAGTAGTCTCATTCACCTACCTATCTAGGCAGCATCGTTACAACTACAGACGGCGGTACATATTAGGATATCAAAGTCAGGATCGGAAAAGCAAGACAGGCCCTCACTAATCTGAAATCAGTGTGGAGATCTACTGCACTGGACTGCACTGCACTCAACACAAAGCGTGAACAAGATCCGGATTTCCAACACTAATGTCAGTCAAGTAAGCACTTCCATGTGGTGGTTCAGAGACTTGGCGGCGCGTTACGAAAAGCATTTCCAACAAACTACAGACATTCATCAACCAACAGCTGCCTCCTACACTCGCTCGATACTGAAGATCAGATGGCCAGAATAATAAGAATAAGCAACAAGGAACTCTAGCCAGCTGACAACGAACCAACCAAGAAGCTGTCACCCGATGAATATGCAGGAGAAAGTGGAGATGGATTGAGTATGCACTGAGAAGATCTCTCGGGGACATTAGACACCACGCCAGGGCCTCGAGTGGAACCCAAATGGGGAACGACGAGTTGGGCTTCCGAGGTGAGGGTGACATGGAGGAGATCATGTGAGAAAGAAATGAATGCTTCTGGGCAGTCGTGGCGCCAGGTTGAAAAGATTGTGGATAAGAGAGTTGAATGGATATGTGCTGTTGAAGCCCTGTGTTCCACTAGGAACTCAAGGGATAAGTAGTTCACGTAAATAATGAGTCGTCATACGTTGAATATTAATTGAATATTTGCAACTATTAATGTTCAAATATTTTCATATTTATAAGATCACTTGGAAAACTCAATAAAAGATAACTTAGAAACTCACTTCTGACCAGGGTTTTCTACAAAAATCATTTACTGCAGAAGTAACTTCCGTCAAGGTCAATCCTGTATTCTTTTCAGGAAATAAGTAACGCATCACATACGAAAATCCAGCATATGCCTGAGATTTAAAGAGATGTTAACGAGGAAAACAAGAGAGGAGATTATCGACAAATGCTAATCGTTCATCCAAATTTTATGGTTGTTTATTGAAATAGGAACACTTGTAAACTGATGTTGTTTACAACATTTTGAACTATCAGAACTAACTGTTTGTGTGAATTGGTCGTTAAATTGCAAATTTGTTGAGATGACGATTCTGAGCATTAATCAGAATCGACTAAACGAGAAAAACAATGTATTGCGTATAATATTTCGTGTCGAATTAAAGATTTAGGTTTTTTGTTTTGGGTCACGCTGGTTAACCTAAAAACGTCGACCATTGAGTACTGAAGTCACCCAGTAACCTGATTCCTTGACTTATAGTGATTAAGTCATTGAGATACACCGCCGAAATATGTACGTAACCAGATACTGTGGTTACAAAAAACTGGTTTCATCATTTAAATTAAAAGGGTCTAAAAGCTAGTACTGGTCGGCAATATACTCAACTGTTTACTTCATATATTCTCTTTTAGGCTGTGTAAAAGTTAATTCAAGCAAAATTTAATGGAGTTAAATATGCGATCTTATCAATAGATAGTTGACGGCGACAAAATCAGAAATTTAGTTTTAGCAACAAAGTGAACAGATTATTTCAGCCTAATTATAACCAATTTCATGGAAAAAGTATTTTAAATCCAATGAAAAATTAAATGTCTTACTGTTGATGAAAACTATTTAGAGGTATCGGGTGATATTACCTCACATAAAAAAAAACTCAGGAGATGAAAGCATATTCTTAATTTTCACTGAGAAATATCCATGCGATAATTATCTCTAAGTTCCCACTGAATTGGAGGCGACTAGCAATGGAGTCCAGGATGCGCGTTTCGCCTCATTCGGGACTCGCCAAATGAATATGTATAGATTCCAGTGAGTAATAGCGTTCTTGTTGAGACTAGAGTTCGACACCCATCACTTTAAACGGTACAACGTTATTTAGTGGGCTACTGAGTCATGATAACCACTTGTTTTGCGACATATATCACTCTTTATTTATTGATTATTATACTAGAGTCAGACAGTCAACATTGAAGTGGGATATGACATCACTGCATCGCTGTTCAAGCTGCTATAGCTCATACCAGCATATCAAGGCAGAGAGCACCAAAAGGAAAGAAAAATAATGAAAAGAGTGATCAAAAATAGGGGGAAGATAGGAAGGAAAGATGAAACAGCGACAGAATTCAACGATACTACTAAAATGAAGTTGATATATAGTTGCATCTGCACCATTGGGATCGATTCATAACCGCATCACATAAAGTCTTCAACCACCGATTTTAAATGTCACGGGGACCCTAACTGAGAAGTTTACATTTTCCTGCACCCCTCAGATCAACAGTCGAAGACTTCAGAGACTGATGGTGTGTTTAATTACGGTGGCATTTAAACGTTTTGCTACCTAAACCTACTTTAGGTGGTGTTGCATGGTGGGGAAGATGCTGAAAGGGCACGAATAACAATTCAGGTTTAAAAACTCATCAACTAAATGACTTGCCGCTTTTGACTAGGACTCACACCTGTCTTATGAGTAACTAGTGTGACGATTCCATTACATACAGCTTATGCACTGAAGGTAACAGTTACTGAACTCTTGTGGGCCTTTTTCTTTTTTCACCTCTATTGGCCAATTTTTACACCTATATAGTAGGACAGAGTGAACTGTGATGCAGTGCGCTCAACCCTTAATAAACAGTCAAATATCGCACCAACGACTTGAATGACATAAGTTGAAGAAAGTAAAGTGGGCGATTTGTATTCGTGCAGAGATTTATTTGACCACTGAGCCCAACAAGGCTGTTCGAACTTCCCGGTAAGCTAGGTGGTCAATAATGCATCCAACATTTTATTGCCTATTGCTCGACCAAACTGATCGGTTTCCTTTAACATATGGGCTGTTTGAAAGGATTTCTCTAATTCCCTGAGGTTTCATTTTGATATCGCTTGGTCGATAGAAGCTAGCAGAGTAATCAGTGATGCGTTTCTCATCCTATTCACGATGTAATCACAACCATTGTTTAATATCTTTAAGTGGGTTTTCACGGAAGAATATGCTGTAGATCTTAGTTGTATCATAATGTGAGTTGAAGGTGTACTTTATAGAAATTCACTGTGCCAGGATGAGTTAGTGTTTATCACTGGATAACTTTCACCAATGGACAACAGTTAGGTAAAATGTCTTGGAAATGAGAACATAATTAACACCTCAAACTATCGTTGACGAAGCTTACAGACCTATCTTATACTGATTAGTATGGAAACATTATTCAACGGTTGAATTTAATCAAATCAAATCGTACATTGGACATCTGGGCATAGTATTTTTATGGACAAAATACTGAAGCATTATTGTGTATATACGATCCACCAAATGTTTACGTCAAGATCAAAACAGTTAGGATTTGTTACTTTAATGCCAGATAAATTTTACAAAGCCTTAATACAACGATTAGTTTACCTATAAGAGATGTTATGCCAAAGGATAAGTGCAAGATAATCGATTCCACAGACTTTTTAAGTCTAATAATTAAAGTGTAACAACCAAGATAAACAACGAAAATATAAGGTTAAAAACGTTTTCCATATTAATGGATGATACTGGGTGTTGTACATTAATATACTTTAGTTACCACCTTATGGACACAACTACAGTACTTACTATTCTAATTAATGACTTTGGAAATTAGATCATGACCAACGAACCTCGATTAGTGTTTCTAGATACTACCTAGTGATCAAACTAATTTATATCAATTTCAGCAATTAAAGTCTTAATTGGTTCTTCGATACTTGAGAAAAGGTATCATTGACGAGATTTAACGTAAACAAAATTTGTTGATGAGTGTTAGTAGGGATGAAAGACTAAGGATGACAGGCTAATAATGATAAATAAATCATGATGGTTCGGCTTTTAGTACATGCATGCCGACGCATAATACCAAATGCAACGTATTATGACGTATAACTATACACATAGTCAGATATGAAAATAAGCGCTTATTCTGTAACGCACAACTAATAGGTTTATTTGTCATGAATATCAGGTGTACCGGTATTATTTTTACGTAAAGCTGAACTATTTACGTTATTTTAGAAATGCGTTATACGCAGTTTCCACTGATATAGTGGTGATAAAAGAACTTATGTTACAAATATTTCTAAATAAAATGAGTGGAGACACGTGTTTCGCCCAGACACATGCCGCTGAAAATTCCATGAGGTGTCAGTAAGAAAGATCACTATTTTAGTCAATAAAAAGTGTTAATTTATCTAAAATCCAGTTAATTAGACCAATAATAAGTTAATTAGAATTTGATGTTAAATTGAATAAAGAGGTTGTATGTAACATACTACTAACTAACATGAGTAGTTTTATAAAACTCAGACCAAGAGGCCATAAACATAAGGTAAACATCTCTTTATTTTGAGACCAAGCTCGTCAGTGATACACCAGAAACGACCTAGCGTATAGACCAAAATTGCCGTGGTGTCAAGCACATAGAACTTCGACGACTGATTATTTTCGCTTGGAAAGGGAATCACGATGAAATCTTCAAAAATGCGCCTCACTCAACTGTGCCATTCTTACTGCAGATCATATAGTTTGCGAACACATGATTAGATTCTAACTGATGAGGGGTTTATTCAGAGATACAGTAAACTGATTTACAAAACGTGGTCTACAGAAGATTTTAAACCCGTTACCTACAACTGATCTCTGCTAACTAAGCTGGCAGACCGAACTGTCAACCAATCCGTCAAGTCAAACTGTCAGTCTAACATGTGAGAATCTTTTTCAAGGTAGTTTAAAGTTAGATTACATGGCAGTGGATGATAAAGTACTTGGCATGAAACCTGATAGCCACTGGCTAGACGCTGTATGGACCGTAGGTGTGCGCTTATGTAGGGTTGCAAACTAGGAGGAAACAGATATCTTGCACTTCTTATTTTCCAATAATCTTTCATTTCATGCCTATGCGTAGTGGAAACCGGTTTGAACTTAGTCAGCGCCACATAAATCTCTTAGATGAATGTAAATCTTTCTCGATTTGAGTCGAGTATAGATTAGACTTCTTTAACATCTACTTACGTAATATACTGACGTAGAAGTGAATAGCTTTTAAGTATTATTATTTATTATTTGTCCCTAAGGATTTCTAGTGGAACACAGGGTTTCAGTAGCACGTCTCCATTCAGCTGTCTTCTCTGCAATCTTTTGGACCTGGCTCCACGATTGCCTACAACCTCTCATTTCTTCTTCAAACGACCTCCTCCATGTCACCCTCACCTCGGAAGCCCAACTCGTCGTTTCCCATGCGGGTTCTACTCGACGGCCTAGCCTGGTCTAGCGCGTGATGTCCCCGAATGGTCTTCTCAGTGCATGCCCTATCCATCTCCATTTCCTTCTGCATATTTGTTGAGCAATAGGTTACTGGTTGGTTTGTCCCCAGAGTTCCTTGTTGTTTATTCTTTCTGGCCATCTGAGCCTCAGTAACGAGCCAGCGTAGGTAGTTGTTGATAAATATCCGTAGTTTGTTGGAAATCCCTGAGCCATACAGAAGCACTGACTTGGCGTCGGTGTTGAAAATCTGGATCTTGTTCCACATGCTGAGTGCAAAAGATCTCCACACTGGTTTCAGGTTAATGAAGGAACGCCTGTCTTGCTTTTCCGATCCTGGCTTTAACGTTTTCGTTTTTGCCGCCGCCTGTAGTTGAAACGGTGCTGCCTAGATAGGTGAAAGAGGTTACTTCCTTAGATTTCTCCGATTGGTGGTGATTGCAGCTTGTTATTGGTTGGGTATCTTCATCACCTCTGGCTTTTTAACGTTCGCTTGAGGTCGCGTCTTTGCTGCCTCTGCAGCCAACATATTAGTTTTCGTCTATAGATGTTCAAGTTTGAGTGATATTAGACATAAGTCATCGGCGAAATCCAGATCTTCTAGGATCTTTTCCGTG